GAGAATGTGATTTAGGTGGTGAGAGTCGAAGGAGGTTTCTAATCAGCTAGATCGATATGAATTAATATTATAACTTAAACGATGGAATGGAAGTAACCCTATCATGGTGGCTTTGTGATAAAGATGGTGGTTATCAGACAATGAGTCTGTTATTGATGATGTTGAATCTATGGTATTAAAAATTGATGTCAGGTGCAAGACTTTACCAAAACATCGATATTATATTTATACTTCTTCGAAGCTAGAAGTCCTATAAATCTATTTGTGTTTAATGTTGAACAATTTATAATTGATTGCAACTTTATTGATATGATATGAAATGCATGACAAAATTTCATAAAAATAAAGAAGCTTATCCTTCGTTTTTTATTTGTTTGTGATTTTTCACCTACAATGATCGTGTGTGTGTGTGTGTGTATATATATATATATATATATTATACATGAGCAGAGGATCAGGTGAATGAACTTGTAGTTGATAGTAAGGAGTAGTAGTGAGGATGTGGGATTTTATGTTGTTATATATCTCATTTGTCATAAATCAACATAATTAACATCATTTTTGTGAGTGATATTCACTTGAATAAAAATCATCTAGAGAAGGTCAGAAACTCCAAAAGACAAGTCCCATGTATAGGCTTTATTTTCACTTAAACGAAAATAAACTTAAGAAGAAGTGTAAAATAAGTCCTATAAAGAACACAAAAAATAATCAAAATAGTTCTCAATGTCACATTTACTACATCACACTGATAAAATAGCAGAGTATAAAATTGACCTAAACATGTTATATTAACATCACAATAACACATTCGGATCAAAAACAGCGAAAACAAAATGAAAGAATAATGTGCGTACCTCCTGTTAGGATAAACTTAATTTTAGGGATTCATTAAAATCTTATTTTATTAGTTTTGGGTTTAGTAATATTTGATTTGATTTTGATAGAGATAAAATAGATATAGGTAGTTTTGATTTTCCTTTTATTTAGGAGAGTATTATTTTATTTTATTAATATAAGATAGAGATAGATTAGGTAGATTTTATTTTAAGTTAGTTGATATTCTATTGTTAGTTTTTATTATTTGTACTTGGCCCAATGCACTATTTGCACCTATTTAAAGGTTGCCAAGGTCAATGAAAAATAACCCCAGTGAATTGAAGAGTATTATTATTTATGTAGGTCAGGTTTTTCCCAACACCTCCTATCATTGCAATTTTGTAATCCAAACAAAGACAACTTTGTTTTTCTATAAGATGGTGTGTTTTCTGAACAGAGGAGTAGGCTTAGTGATCAAAACTAAGAGTATCTCATTCCCTTATATGGCCATCACAGGTTCAAAATAAATGGGCTTTACGTTTAAACAAAATTAATAACTGCTCCATAACCTCTATGCAGTTAAAATGATAAAAATAATGGCTTAATGGACCATTTTATGTTCTTTAAAAATAGGAACTAAAAATGCTATAATATTTATTTTATATTTAAAATAATGCTAACACACCATTCTAACTTTTTCCCTTCCTTACTCCATCCATCTCTAAAATTTTTCCTCCATTTGAGGTTTGGGTTGTAATGAACTTATACTGATTCTTTTTTCAGATTCACTTGTACATTTAAGTCTTAGATATTGAATCATGTCAGTCTTTGGTAGGACATACTTAATATGTGTCTTGTGGAAGGTGTCAATTGATATTTTATTTGTTCAATATTCTTGATGTATAGATCCATTTGTGGTTTATGTGATTTTTGTATGTTAGATGAAAGTGATTTTTTTGTGACTTGTTAATTAAGATATATCTTTTTACACATTTTTTTAAGTTAAGAATTTATTTAAATATCTTACCTTTCATGTGTTGTTGCGATGTGACTTGTGATTATTCTATTATGTAGAGTTGTGAACTTGACCCATGACTTATGGGTTAGTCCTAGCCTACCCTTGAAAAAGCCACCTTATAGGAGGTCCTCTCATGTAGGGGCCAAAAAAACCCCAACCCTCAAAGTCTTCTCTCAAGTGGGTTAGGATCAGGATTAAGTTGAATTTCGGACTACTACAAAACTTTAATTAACTCTTAGAAATAATATCATTTATGTACACATAAAAATTATATATTGTTGTAATTTTATTTATTTAAATCAATATTTTTATATCATACTTATTATTATGTTATTAAATAAAATATATAATATATAGTTTAATACAATTATTGACTATAATTTATTTATTAATTTTATCAATTTCTTAGAGAAGAAAATTTATAACATTTAATAAACTAGTAAGTAGTACATGGTCATAAATTCCCAAATATGACACTAGAAACATGGATTCTAGTCAAAATGTGATAATATTTGATTAATTCTAATAAAATTTATATTATTCTTTTATAATTACTAAATATATATATTTATTATATATATATATATATATATATATATATATATTATGATTATTAAAAAGAAATAAATAATGGATACAATTTAAGTATCAATTTGGACTATACATTAAAGGAAAGAAAAAAAAACAACATATAATAAAAATATCCATAAACTTATTATTCATAAATTTATTATTTTAAATTTTCAAATTGAGATGTCTTATTTAATTTTGATACAGATGAAATTTTCACATAACAAAAAATTAAATGACTATCTTATATCAAGAAAAATTAAATATATTTAGCCAGGATTTCAACATCCTATGTTGGTGCATAATTTTTCTATATAAAGAAGCAACCAAGTTTATTGACACATCTTACAAAATTTATATTAATATGAGATGTTTGTATATAGTTATTTGACAAATTAAAAACATTTATGTTTGTGACAGACTATGAGTTAATTGTATTTTTTTTTGTATTCAAAATGAATATTTTTTTTCTTAAAAAGATGTTTATGGACTAACTATAACCTAAATAATTTTTGTAAATATTTTGATTTTATGAACTTTTTGAATAAGAGGCTTTTTGCCCTTATGATTTTTTTTTGTCTCAATCCATGTGACTCAAAGTCAAACTATGTGAGAGGAACTAAATTGACATATTTACTATTATATAAACAAACATATATAAGTATATAAATACAAAAATAACATATATGGACAAAAATAGAAATTTTTAATTCAAAATATCTGTATTTATGTATGTTTGAGATTTGAGTCGTGTTATATGTTTTGTTATGTTTTTCTTGGTATTACGCTCAACATTTTCATCAAGAAACAAATACTATTATATTTCAATTTCACATTTCATAGCATCACTAATTTCTTCTTAACTAAAGAAAAAGACTACCTTAAACTCCAATTACATTTAAACACCACATTTTGTCAACAGTAATTAGGAAGTTTGAAAATTTCTAAATATCAATCCTACTCAAAACTCAACGATGTAACAAACTTTGTCATATCACTACCCATCTTAAAACACTTACGTTAATACAACATGTAACATATCATCACAATTTCAAAATAATCGAAATAAGAATAACTGTCAGCTTCCCTGACCTATTTTTAAACTTCTCAAGAAAAAAAAATTGAAAGTTTTGTGTCTTATTTCACAAGCAAAATATATAATTAGAAACTTAAAGTAGCTCACATTTAATATTGAAACCTTACCATACATGCAAATGGTTTCAAAATTTAAAAAAGAAATTCAAAATAATTGAGAGATAAATAAGATTATAAAAGTACTTACGTCTACAAAATAAATTACTACGTAATTATAATTTTAAATTTATATAGCAACTGAACATTTTAAACTTTATTATTTTATAATTATTTTTACTAAACAACTGTTCTTCAATCTCATGAAATATTTGCTTTGCGTTTATCTTATGTACATGTTATTGCGTCTCTTCCTATCGATCTATAATACGGTATTTCTTTTGTAAAAAATAATGTTATGAGTCACATTCTTGGATTTCCTAAAATTATGTATTGTATCATTCAAATGATTGTTCAATTGTATTTCAAAGGTTTGACTGGGTTTGATTCTTGACACATATATATAAAAGTAGTGTTCGTGCACTTGTCAATAACTACATTAAACAACTTGTTACTTTTAGCTAAAAACATATTATGAGTAATCCATAAGAAATTTTTATAAATAAGTAATTTTACTCCTTATAACATATGATAAGTTGGAATGGATCATCAATATGCTCTTCCAAACATGTTCTTGATACATAGAAGAACTATATTAGCTTTTACTAAATTATTTAATATGGTAATTACCATATTAATACATATTACTCTTTTATATCAGAAAAATATATATAAGTATTTTAAATTAGTTTTAATCAAACAAATAAAATTTAATTATTTACAGAAATCATAATTATCAGAATTCACAATTTTTCTATTATATTTTCTTTTTCTCTTATCAAATACTCACTTTGAAATAATTTGATTCTTTGTTGGAGATAAAGATTAAAAGTTTATTTTGTTACATATATCTGTTTTTTAAAAGTTAAAATTTAATTTTAATGTTAATATTAATAATTCAAATAAATTATACTTACCTATATGTCTACAACTTTATTTTATTTTTATCAGGTGACACTGTTTAACAATTTCCCAATCATGTAGCCACAAAAATTATACTTTATATAATAAGATATAATTTTACATTGTATTAATTAGATAAATTTTTCTTTTATTAAATTAAAATAAATTTACTATTCAATAAAATAAATAACTATACAATTTCATTATTAAAAAAGTAGTGATGTAATTTTTATAGTTAACAGATAACTCATAATTCTTAATTAAAATACAACTAGGTAACTTCTCAACTCTGATCCTTATATAAGAAAATATTATTTTTTATATTTTTAAAATTGTAAAAATTATGTTTTTTTACGATCAGTAAACTAAAATTATAAAATATTTTCTAAATTCAATTTGATGAAAATGTTAATATTTTAAGATTATTTTACATTTGATTATTTAGTTTTACTATATTTTTGTGTTTACGATTGAACTATCTAACTATATTACCACTAGCAATAAAAATGCCAAGTTTATTAGCAAGAACAAAATCTTGCTCAACATCAACAAGAAGTTAAAATACTTAGATCAATCACTGAGAACACAATCATCTTCAAAATATGCCAATTCCTGCTTCAATCTGAAATCTGCATTCCCATGGAAATATCAATCTCAATCAAGTTTTCATCCTCATTCATGTCATTGAATTCTGCTAAGAGCTCCATTAGGCCTTGCTGCTTGAAAATGGAATCTAGCATGAACTCTGGCAACTTAGATTGCACCTTTTGCTTAGGATCTTCATTCAAGTCAGGAAAGTGGCTGCTTGGAAGGTTGATTTCAATCAGACTATCCTCTTCATCCTCACCCTCATAATCATCAGAAGCCAAGCTATCAGAAATATCCTCATTTTGATTTCCTTTCTGATGCATCTCAAAACTTTCCTCCAATATTGAGCCATCACTGCTTTCACTATCTGAAGGAAGAGAATAATCTGACAGCAAATCATCTTGTAGCCTATGGTCTTCAATATTCAGCTCAAAAGTTCCATCCATGATAGAGAAGTTGCTGCTTTCACAATCTGATGGAAATAAATAGTCTGAATGTGCTTCAGATTCACCATCCTCATGGTTCTCTGCAGTTCCACTTTCTTGGTTAACCTCACTATGAGTAACATCCAGCAAAGGCTGTAGCCCATTTTGGATTAGATTTTCATCTTTGTCCCTTATTCTCCTTATCAGTTTGACAAGTAACATGGTGGATAATAGAGCAATTTGTATTGTGAGAAGGAAAGGGAAGGATTTAGAAGTTGAAAAGAAAAAGTATGATATGACCAGAACAAGAACCATGGTGACAGATGGGAAAATGACCAAATTGGAACATAGCATGGAACAGATTTGATGTTTATATGCTTTATCCATGATCATTGACTCAGAATACACTCACTGCTTCAAGGCCAAAGACTTGAAGCTGCTTCAAAAAGTGTGCAAATTTTGATGAAAAAAGATGCTTAGATCTGTAGGAAAAGCTGCAGGCAAATACCTCAAATTTTGTTCAAGCTGAAGTTTTTTCCCTTTTACACTACCGATTGTGACATTGCAAGTCAGAAAATTCTTCACAAACTAAAAGGGTATCTTGTAGAGTGGGATGCCAAAGGAAGCTTTAGCAAAGTTGGCACACTTTCTACTCTTTCCTCTATGCTGAATTAGCAAATGGTTACCAAAATGTCAAAAAGGTTGCAAAGGAGGGAAATTTTTACCTCATCAATGTGACAAATGATTATAAATTCAGCTCCAAACAAAAGTGTTTCTAACACTCCATACCTGAAATGGATGAGATTTGGCACTATCACTGTTGAATGCTCAATCTGGATACACAACTGAGCAATCTTATCTGCAACTGCAATACCCAACTGCTGTTACTGCTATTATTTTCTGACCAGACCATAATCTGTTATCATTATTATCCTCTATTGATTCTCTTGGAGGTAGCAAAGCTGTTTGTTGAACACCAACATTTACAAAACTCAATGTCTTGAAGTTGCTGAATGCATGTGACGGACATGTCTGACCCTCCACATTGTCAGACCCTTCTAAACAAATCTCCCTGAGGTAAATCAGTACTTTCGTTTTCTCTAAGCCAAACATAAGCTCTTTACAAGAATGTCATAATGCCAAAATTGGCAACAACAAAATTCTCAAAAAGAACACCTTTTTTTCCACCTTTCCAAAGGCGTGCAAATTGGAACATTTTTCCTGGAATCAAGCACAAGTTGAGCACTTTTATGACTTTTTATTTTTTCCGACAAGGTGTCAACTAATACATAATAAATACCCTTAAAATCCAGCACAACCTTTTGTAATAATTAAGGACAGTCAACAACTTTGCTCACGCTACCTTTTCAGGATTGAAAGGTGTTAAATGAATAATTATAAGTCTTCCAACATTTCTATACAATTACTCTTATTTGTTGGTTTTAGAATAACTTATTATAGTCTCTTAAATTTATTTTTGGTTTTCTAATTTTAAAATTGTTATTTTTTAATTCTGTAATTAAAAAAAGTTATTTTTTGTCCTCTGTTTAAAATCCTTGAAAATCAAATAAATGATATTTTAAAAATATAATAATTTAAAAATAATAAAACTCAATTACTATAATATTAAAAAGTTTTAATATAAATAGTTTTGTTATGAACAAGTATCATTATTTTAAAACACATTATCTTTTTATAAATAGTTCTTTTACTCTGCTCGTTTAATTGAAAAACTAAGGCAGTAGGATTGATCTTTGGAGTGAACTCTTCAATTTGGACCAATTAGTTTCTCCATTCATATAATTTCAACCCTTTTTCTTGGTCTTTTTATGTTATATGTTACATGTGAGTCTTCTTTCATTTGCATGAGTCTTTTTAGTCATCTATAAGAGTTTTTTTTATTAGTGATCATATCTGTTGGTATCTAGAAAAAAATATCTCTTTATTTAAAACTTGCAATACAAGGGTACTTTGCTCACTCTTTTCAACACTTGATACTTAAACACAAAACACTCCCTTGCTTTCTTTCTTATTCTCGGTTGGTGGTCTATCTTTTTTGAGGTGTATATCTCTCATTGACCTTCGTTCTTTTATATAACCAACCATCACAGTCACAAAAATCACTATACGGACCACCACATCACTACCAATTAACATTTTAGGGGGAAGAAAAAGCTGGTGTCGTGGAAAAACTTGCACATACAAAGACTTCTCTCCTTCCTTTTTGAAATGATTAAAACCACGTGGGACCGATTAAAGTTTATCCCACCATAATTGTATGTCCTGATCGTTTTTGTGTTGTTCCCAAGTATGAATAGAATATCCTATGAGCTTGAAGGTATGATAATGTTAATTTTTACTATTATCTTAGCCACATTTTATTAACAAAATCAACTCTTCTCTAGCTTGTAACCTTCTTAATCATCAATTTTATCTTATTTTTGTAAATATTCCTATTTTGGGTACACTTATTTAAATATTATCCCTAATTCCCCATTTTTTGTGTCTAATTTTGTGTTAGGAAAATCCTCTACCAAATAAGAGAACTTGGTAACCTAGAGAAGCTGGAAGAACATAACATATGAGAGTTCTTGAAGTCTAGGTGACACTCAGCGTCACCTCCTTGCCAACGAGCAACCACTTTCCATAGAGCAAACAAAGGTCACACTATTGAGCGCTAATTCCATCGTTGAGTGCCAGCTTTCCATAGAGCAAGACCTAAGTTTATGAAGATTAGTGTTGAGCGGCAGAGTCCTTGCACTAAGCAACACTTTTTTGATGTGGCAAGTTTTCACCCTATTTCTTCTTGTGGCTCGAAGGAGGTTGGGTCTTTGGATGGTTGGAGGCACGAAATCACTTCCTAGAGCATAAGGAGGTATGTTAGGGCTTGCAGAAGCAACCCTTCCTTCTCTTTTGATCTCCTTCATCTTCCATCTTCCATTTTGTAAGCATGTGCTCTCCATGGAGATGGAAAGCCAAACCCATCTTGTTGGGGATAGATGTAGCCACTAAACTCTCTTGTATTTTGTAAATAGTTTGAATATATATATCCCCATTACAATAAGAATATATATATATATATATATATGCCTATGCCATTAAATGCTAGTTTTCTTGTTCCTATGCTTAATGCTTATTGTAATGGGGATATTCATAGTTAGATTCGTCATTCATTAGGTATTGGGATGAAACCTAGACTTGGAACAAGATACCTAATGGAGCTAGTATCTAAGGAAGGAGGACCATTAGTTGTCTTAAATCTTAAATCTTAAAACGGGTTTGCTTGTTAAGTGTTCAAGGGATTGACCCGTAGTGAGGAAACCTTATCTCTTTCACCTAAGGGATTAGGGCTTGAGTGTTCTTGTGTGTTGACTACAGTGTTTTGATGGAGAGGAGATGATTTTGCATATGCATGAGAGCAAAAATGGTGAAATCTACCTTCAACAATGACATTCTATACCATTTTTAACCCTTTTCCATTCCTAAATGTCTTCAACCTCTAAAGTCCAATCTTTATTCTTTATCAATTTATTTATTTGTGCATAATCATAAATCATGAATTATTCTTTAGTCTATATTAGTTATTAAATGTACAATTATCTAGTATTACATGAGTTTCTTAGGAAACAATACTTGATTTTACCATTTTATATTACTTGAATAATTTGATTCGTTTGCCGATGAGTTAACAAGGAATTTGAGATTTATTAGAGAAATTTCATCAGTCTTATAGTAAGGAAAACTAATTGCATAATATTTTATGTAATTGATACCTTGTAATTGCTAATTGTATGATTGTAAGATGATTTTCTTCCATGATTGAGTTCTGAGATGAAATATGATAGGTTGAATTGATATTACGGTTTTGTTTTGGCTTACTTGAATTGTATGATGAAATTAGGAATGTTGCTTGATTAATATTACAAATAATGTTGTTTGAATTAGTGAAGGTTGTGTAATTTGAATTTGGTATGCTTTAGTATCTGTGTTTGCTATTGGACTGAATATGTAGGGTTGGAATGACATAAATTAGCATAATTATGTTATGCAGAATTATATAGACTTGTTGGACAAGAATATACTCGTTGGACGAAGCCAAAGTTAGATAGTTACTGACTTAGTGGTCATTGGGCGAGGATATACTCGTTAGGCAAAGTAAAAGTCAGAGAGCTACTTACTTGGTGATCGTTAGATGAGAATATACTCGCTGGGCAAAACCAAAGTCAGAGAGCTCACTGACTTGATAGTAACTAGGCAAGACAAGTCTTGTTGGGATACTTTTTGAAAAATTTAAGTCTGTGAGTTCCAATTATTGTTTCGCTAGGTGAGCTATTTGGCTGTTGGGTGATAAGTGTGATAATTAACTATTATTCACACATATTAGAACCCCTTATTGGTACTTATATCATGTGTTTTGTGTTGAATTCCATGAAAAGATGCAAGATTTGTATATAGTCTTCATAGACAGATTTAATTATCTATTTTTGGTTTATTTTGTAGGAAATTGGAAGATTAGAGAAGAATAGAGAGTTGCTGCCAGAAGTTGCTAGCCTAGCCACAAACACCACTAGCCCAGCTAAACATGAACTCTACCCAACCAGAAAGTCTTGCGGCCCACTGAGTAGAGCACCCCTAGCCCAACGAGAGGATTCTGTGGCCCAACGAGAATGCACTTTTTGGAGAGGGTTTTAAAGTGTCGAGAATGAAAGAAAAAAAAAAGGAGTTTTAAATGTGGAAACACAACTGAAGCTTAGGGACGCGGTGTGGAGGCATGACTTCACTTCTAGAGCTCATGGAGGTTGCTTGGGCATGTGAGAACATCATCTTCTCCTTCCTTGGATCCCTTTCTTCTTTCATTATCCATTTTTGTAAGCTTTGAGGTTCTCCATGGAAATGGAGAGCCAAACCCATATTGTGAGGTGATTTTGTAGCCATTGAACTCTCTTGTATTTTGTAAATGATTTGATTATATAAATTCCTCTTGTATTTTGTGGATAACTCGATTTGTGATTTATTAGGTTTTGGGAAGAATCTACTGAACCCTAGACTTGAAACAAATCTAGTGGAGGTTAGTGTCTAGGAATGAAGTTTGACCCATTAGTTGTCTTAAACCCTAGGTCCTAATTCGGGCTGGCTTGTTAAGTGATCAAGGGATTGATGCTTAGCTAGAAAACCTAGGTTCTCTCACCTAAGGGATTAGGGTTTGAGTATTTTAGAGGGTTGACATTAGTATTTGATGGAAAGGAGATGTTTCGGTGTGTGCATGAGAGTAAACCCAGTAAAATCCTCCCTAACATTGACATTCCGTACCATTCTTGATCTTTTTCCACTCCTAAGTGTCTCCAACTACCAAAGTCCATCTTTCCTTGTAATTTTTTATTTACTTGCATATAGTTGTAAAGTCATGAACTATTCATTAGTCTAGATGAGTTATTAATCATACAATTAACTAGTATTACACGAGTCTCTTGGGAAAACGATACTTGATCTTACCATGATTTAATTACTTGAACGATTTGGTACGTTTTTCAATGAGTTAATGCTAGGTGAGTGAGCTTTTAGGCACTACTCACTAAGCAAGTAGATATTCTCGCTGAGCGAAGTTACAAAGCCTTTTGTTTTCATATATGTTCTGTAATGATAAGTTTAATGTATGATATTGTGAATGCTAAAATGATAGTTGGTTTATGATGTTTATCTAATAATGATTGATAAATTAAGGGATAAATATGCATGCAAATAATGATGTATGGATGGTGATGATGAGCTTGTTAATGGATATATATGAGAACTGTATGTGTTTGACGTAATTCTAGGAATCT